TTGACTAATATCTGAAATAGATCTTTTTGATTTTATTTTCATATTAGGTTTAGAAAGATTAACTTGAAATTACTTTAAATTACAAGGTAATTTAATTTTTATAAAATTTAGCCATATTTTTGCCTCCAAATCTTCCTTATGTAAGATGAATCCACTATTTTTTATACTACAGAGTTTTTTAAGATTGCATCAGAGCTATTTTGATAAATTTTTGCTGTATTTTCCTCCTTATCCTTATTATTACATTCATAAATTTAATTCCATTAAATTTCATAAATTTTCCTATACCTATAAACACTTAAAGTGAAGGAGATCTAAAGGTTGAGTTATTATGTTATCTTTTTAAGAGCTAATTAAAATTCCTTCTTATGAAGATATATTTAAATTTTTTAAAATACTATCGTAAACCTAAAAAATAAAAGTAATATCACTTTTAACTACTTAAAGATTTTCACTATAACAAGGAATTATTCACTTTTCTATCCAATAGAAGCTGAAAATTAAAAAAAAGAAATTCCATGCTCATATTTAAAATCACCTGCCTTAACCAAAAAAAATATCTATTATTTCCATGTCAATTGGGAAGATCTAAAGCCCTCTTACAATATAATAAACTATCTTAGAAATAATATGGGAATAAATATATTTTCAGTTGAATATCCAGGTTAAATTTATTAAGGGGATTCATCAGGAGATATTATTATAAAGATGCAGAATACATTTATAAGTATTTAGATTTTCAAATATTATACTTATAAGAAGATCTATAAGAACAGTAGTTGCTTACAATTTAGAATCACTCTTTAAATCAGCTATTTTTGTTTTCATCTCTCCCTTCTTATCCTTATAAGAAAATTTTGAAAAAAGTATCCTTGATTATAAAAAATGCTTAAAGAGAGCTTCACTAATAAAGAATAAATACTTAATGTAAAATAAATCACTGCATGGACTAAAAGATTCTATTGTTTTAGTAGAATAGGTTAAAAAATTATATGCCACCAGAAATGACTCATACTAAATTTCAATTTGAATAAGGGTAATCGTTACCTCTTTTAGGATTCATGAGACAATTGAATATACATTGAAAATTTCCATATAATAACAATTCTCTATTTTATATTATAAATTAAATTATGATTCAAATTTCAAAAACTAAAACAGTTGAATAAGTTTATTTAATAATCCAATATTTAATTTAAGAAAACATAACATAAATTATAGTGGTTTAAAAAAATGGTGGGAATATAGAGATAAAAAATTGATATTAGAATAAGATGGTGTAGTTAGATTAACTGGAAACAAAT